CTGAACATTGAACCAATATATATATTGGGTAAATACTATGTGCCTGGGGGCAGATATGGTTGCTACTTTGTGGAGTTGAGAGATAATTAAACAGTAATTACAATTCAGAGTATTAGGCACTGTGACTGACAAAGTGACAAAGTACAGCATACAAATAGGATGAGCCTCTAACTAAGGCTTTGGAGGAAAGTGACTGGTGTCAGGAAAGGGCTACTGGAGACAGGGACGTCTAGGTTAAGGCATAAAGAATGAATAGGGGTTAGCTAGGCAAAGAAGAGGGAAGAGTGTTCTAGGTCAAGGGAACAGTATATGCAAAGCGTGGGGTCCAGATAGGCCACGTATCTTTGAGGAACTAAAAAAAGTTTAACTCATACCTAAAAATATATTTCAAAGAGAGTCATGCTAAAAGGTAAGTCTGGAGAAGCAGAGAGGAGTCACATCATGAAGGGTCTTATAATTGATCCTGAGAGCTTGACTCTATTTGAAGGGTAACTGGAGGCTAATTGGGAGGCCATTCAAGATGATACAATCTGTATTTTAAAAGAACAGTTGGGTTGCTTGTATTAGTTGCCTGTTGCTGCTGTAACAAATTACTATAGATTTAGTGCCTTAGAACAACACAAATTCATTATGTCACAGTTCTGGAGGTCAGAAGTCAGAAATGGGTCACACTGGGCTAAAGTCAGGTCCCTAGGTGGAGAAAAAGATTTGCACTTGACTGTTAATTGAAAGGTTCGTGGCTCAGACCCACCCAGCAGTGCAGAAAGATTTGGCAGTCTGCTTCTATTCTACTCTGTCCTATGGTGTCGCTATGAGTTGGAATTGACTAGATGGCAATGAGTTTAGGTTTTGGGTTTGGTTTTGCCATGTAACCTAATGTATTCATAGGTTCCAGGGATTTGGACTTGGACGTCTCTTTTTTTTTGAAGGGGGTTGTTCTTTTACCTATTACATTACCATTTCAAGAATGGATTGGAAGGAGGCAAAGCTGTGGACAGAGAGCTACTGCAGCAATTCAGACAACAGGTATTGGTGACTTACACTAGGGTAGTGGCAATTGGCATAGACAGAAGTGGAGGAACTTAAAAGGTATGCAGGAGATACAACTGACAAGCCATGACTAATGATTGGATGGAGCTGGGTGAGGGTGAGGGAGACATTCAGGGTGATGCTTAATTTTACGGTTGGGGAAATTGGGGAAGAAGATCGGTTCAGTTTTGGAGATGTTGACTTTTATAGATAGTAATTGAAGCTATGGGAGTGGATGGATCGTCCAGGGAGAATGTACA